TAACTGCTATTGCTATTGCTATTGGGGGTTTGTCTGTGTCCCCATGGTCACCTGAGTGGTGCAAATGATTCCTGTAGTCTGCAGTTTTTCCCCCCTCTGGGAATCCGTTCCTATTCCCACATTATTCCAAGGGTGTCCATCCCAAATTGTACAGCTAAAAGTCTGTAGTCATCTCAGTCATCCAGGCCATGGTTGTCCAAAGGTGCTTTTTCAGGAGGAAACTGGACTTTCTGGTTCTTTCTTTGAAGACGTTTCGCTTCTCATCCAAGCTTCTTCAGTTCTGACTGGACGGTGGGGAATGGAAGAGTTTATATTCTGATGACCCTGAAGACACAGATAAGCCTCCAAGTGCTTCAAGGATCCTCTAAAACGATGCAAATGACCACCTAATTGCAAGGTATATAAATCCTTCCATTCCCCACTATCCAGTCACAGATGAGAAAAGTCTACAGATTTATAGCTATCCAATTTGGGATGAACACCCTTTGAATGGTGTGGGACTAGGAATGGATTTCTAGAGGAAAAATTGCAGACTACAGGAACCACTTGCACCTCTCAGGTGACTCGACACAGACAAATCTCCAAGTGGCCTCAATGACGCGCTAAAAGAATGCAAATGACTAGCTGTCTGCAAGGAGTATAAAACCTTCCATTCCCCACCATCCAGTCGGAGCTGAAGAAGCTTCCAGTTGCCTCCTGAAAAAGCACCTTTGGGACAACCATGACCTGGATGACTGAGAATCTCTACAGACTTTTAGGAGGACTGAAGTTTGTGATGTTGGGATTTCCTTGTGGCCCCCTTTCCAAGTGCTTAACAGAATGATCTTAATTCTTAATAGATCTTTATTATTATTATTTTTTGTGTGCTGCTCCATGAATTCAACCGATCTTTAATATTTTTCTTGTGTGCTGCTCCACAAACTGTTCAAAATATAGATTGCCTTCTCTCCAGTTTGACTTAACCACTTCTTGCTATATTCATGTATTATTATTATTTTTTTGGCAAGATTATGGAGGTAGTTTGCCATTCTTTGCCCAGAAGTTTTTAGTTTCCCAATCTGCTGTTACCACCCCAAATTACCAGGTGGCCCCCTTTAAATAAGGGGTGATTCAGTCTATTGTGTTTTTTTTTTTTTTTT